ATGACTCAGGTGTTGCTAATGAAATATGAAGACCCCTCTCTTGAACCCCACCCCCCATTTAGGAAACCACTTTTAACACATGACCTCAATATGTTGTTTCCTTTAACATGTCCATCACTGCCCCCTCCCTGGGGCCCACTGGGTATTTTTGTGTATACATGCATCCCGTGGACAACCAAGTGCTAATGTCAGCTATCGCTATAAGAAGGGGATCATGTTTAAAGAGGTGGTTATAGAAGACTTTATGTAGGAGCTGAATTTAATTGGGTCTTAAATATGAGTGAATTTGAAATGCAAAGTAAGGCCAGAAAGCTTTCCAAAGCAGAAAGGCACTCTCAAGCTAGCAAGGGAACCAGGGGTGTGCCATCCTAATTATTCACTGTGTTCACTGGCATGAACAAAAGGCCAAAGCAGGGATGAGAATGGGCCACAGAATCTGGGGAGGACAGCAAAGATTCACGACAGAGGTGGCATCTGAACTTATTTGTGAAAAGAACAGTGTCATTTTAGTCCATCAGGAAAATGACAGAGAAAGTACTTAAGCTCCAGATGAGCACAAGCACCAGAGCCAGAACGCAAACCGAGCACAACGTCTATGCTGGGTCAGTACTTGGACAACATTGAACACTGCATTTCCTTTTATCCACTCCCCACCCTCTTTTCAATAAAGGTGAAGCAGGTAGCTTAGAGTGGCAGGGAAGGAGACAGTGACTACTGGAGTGTTAATACAGCCACTGCTCAACTGTGACTTAGGTCTAAGCACATGGCCCTTCTTGACACCTTGAGCAGCAATGAGTCTCTGCACTCACTGCTTTTCTGTGCCTGGGCTGCCAATATGTGCATGTGTGCACCCAGTGTTCAAAGGCAAGCTTTGCTGAGTAGGAAACGGGAGCCCTAAACTTTAAGAGTTCCCTTCACACAGCAAGAACAACTTCGGAGGACTGAACATGAGTTGTACTCCAGACGGAAGAAACCTAGGTAAGATGTACAGAGGCCTCTGCTTGGAGGAAATGGGTTCACTTCCAGTTAGAGAAAAAGGCTCGGGAAGGGAAAGCAAGGTTAAATAAGACCAGCATGGCTGTGTGTCCCTTCCCTCTCAGAGTCAAGCATCCAAGGGCAACTGTGGAAAATGAAGAGGTGACAGCAGTGAGGAGGGGTGGGTCATGAAGTAGATATGATTGGCTTGAACTGGTCTCAACAGCCTTGGCTGTGGACAGCAGAGATGGGAAATAGCAAAGTTGTCTTAACTTTTCACTTCTCATCGAGGAGTTACAGAGCCTGTGAACTCTAGGAAATGGAGGTGGAGAAATGAGACTGGTGATGTAATGGATTTCTATGGATGCCTTGGCCTCTGCCCCACCGAGCTCAAGTGCCGAGAGGATCTTGAGGATGGGGGTTTTCGTCACAGTGGGGATAGTAGGAGTCCCCCCTGCAGCAGTGAAGGCACACCTCACCAACGGTCTCATGGGCCTAGAGATCAGCCAGCTTTCCTTGAGAATGTTAGCACCTATTGAGGAAAGAGGAAAGACAGTGAAAATGCTGGCATAGAAAACAATTTTTCTGAGACAGGGTTTCTCTGTGTAGCCCTGGTTGTTCTAGAACTCACTCTATAGATCAGATTGGCCTCGAACTCAGAGCTCCACCTACCTCTGCCTCCTGAGTGCTGGAATCAAAGGCATGCACCACCACCGCTCGGCTTCTATTTTTTTGGAAGGGAACTCCTAACTCTACTTACTACTCACAATTTATGAAGTTTTAATGTCATTAGCTTTTTTGATTTTTCAGATTTTTATGTGTTTGCATGAATATACTGCGTGTCTTGGTTACTGTTCTGTTGCTGTGATGACACACCATGACCAAGGCAACTCTTATAAAACATTTAACTTATATAATTTTAGAGGGTTAGTTCATGATCATCATGGTGGGAAGCACAGACATGGTGTTGGAGCAGTAGCTGAGAGCTTTACATCCTGATCCATAGGCAGCAGGTGATGGACGTCGAGATCATGATGGGAGGACGTGCAGAGATGACCGGCCACACTAGTGGAAGCCCATGAACTGTGGACTGGTGGCTGTGGAGCCCCCATGGGACTGGAATAGGCCCTCTGGATACGGAAGACGGTTGTTGGGCTCGAACTGTTTAGGGGGCACCCAGGCAGGGGGATCGGGATCTGTCCCTGGTCTATGGGTAGGCTTCTGGAATCTGGTGCCTGTGGTGTGACACCTTGCACAGCCTTGGCACAGTGGGAAGGGGCTTGGACTTGCCTAGGCTCAGTGTGCTGGACTTGGCTGACTCCCCATGGGAGACCTTGATTTGGGGGATGTGGGGATGTGGGGTGGCTTGGGAAAGAGGGCTGGGGGTGGGAGGAGGGGGGGGTCTGTGGATAGCATGTGGAGTAGAAAATTTCTTAATAAAGAAAAAATAAAATAAAATTGGACAGATTCTGGCCTAATACCTGAACAACTTATCAAAACCTTAACTAGCAAGTATCCACATTCTCCTGCTATAGTAAATTAATTCAACACTATGCACATATCTATGAACTATTCAGTGTATCTGAATGCTGTTGCTAGCTGAGCAAACTCTAGTTCATTGTACATTTTGATTTGGACACCTGCAATGGACAAAATGTTTTGCTCCAAACACAGTAATAGAAAAAAATAAGGCATGTTTAAAACACACACACACACACACACACGGAACATTTTAGTTCTTATATTTAATTCCAAACACCAAATTTAAATAGACCTTAGCCTAAGCTAAAACTTGTATTTTTACATATCTATTATGGCTTGCTGTTTGGATTACTACATTTTTTATTTTCTTGTGACTGTTCATTTCTCTGCTGAGTGGCCTTTGAAGGAAGGCCCATTTCCTGTTGTGCACACACATACCATTAAGTATAGAGAAAAATACACACCAACGGTTCTCTCTGGATGTTGGACTGCAGATGATTTTTGTTGGTGGTGGTACTTTGAATTTTGTAAGAGTATAAAAGAATGTTTGGGATCAGAAAAACAAAAAAGTTTAAAAACAACAAAAAATCCCTCAGCCACTAGCTGTCAGTTAAAGACCACAAAATACTTTGCTGTATTCACAGGAATATGATTATCTAAATAAGTTTTGGGGCTTGTAGGCAGAATGTGGGGCAGGCAAGCCCATTTAAATATATACCAAGCAATGCCCTCAGTCTTCTAAAAACCACAGTAGGTAATGCTGGGCACAACATGGGTGATCAACTTGGGAACTCTGATCTCTGGCCACAGAAGCTAGCTGGACTCTGGTAATACAGGACACAGGTAACTGGCCTTAAAAATAAAATAAATTAAAAAGGGAAAAGAAGAAATTCGGCACCAGGATCAAAACATGCATGCCTTAATCAGCCACATTATGGCTGAACCTTGTCAGTAACACTTCCTCAAGCACCTGCAGCTTCTGTAAGTGGACAGCAGTACAGCAGGCGACATTGTTACATGAGGGAAATCCCATGTAGGCTCTGGAAGCGACATCGGTGCTCACTGTGCAGATGTGGTTTCTCTGGACCAATGATTCCTTTTGCTTCAGTTACGAGGCGAAAACTCTACTTGTTCTGTAGAGACCAGTGTTAACTTCTAGTCACATGACAACAGCCAGGTACACTGGTAATTCTGGGACAAAACCACATTGCTTTGGTTTTAACTCTTTGCAGGGTCTTGTAATTGATTTTATTGTTCAATGAATTAAAATACCTTGAAGCATTCATTGAACATTGTTAAAACTCTCGAGGTCTCAAGTCTCTCCACCTGCCTCTTGGCTGGCCACTATACAGCAACAAACCAAGACTCTGGCAGAGGGATTTCCAAGGCTGTGGTGATATTAGTAATCTAAGAAATAAAGCGTGCCTGAAGATCAGAGGACAGAGCCAGCCACAGTTAAACATAGAAGTCAGGCAGTGATGGCACACACCTTCAACCCTAGCACATGGGAGGCAGAGATCTGTCTGGATCTCTGTGAATTCAAAGCCACCCTGGACTACACAAGATTAATCCAATTTAAAAGAGAAACAGTTGGCAGTGGTGGCACACACCTTTAACCCCAGCACTTGAGATCTCATGCCTTTGCTACCGGTATCTGGGAAGCACACATGCCATGTTTAATCCCAGTACTAGGAAGGTTGAAACAGGAAGCTATGGCTGGGTGGAGAAAGTATATAAAGCCTTTCTGCTGAGGACTCAGGAGCATTCAGTCTGAGAATTCATGGAGATAGGATTGGCTGAGTTGTCATCGAGGTGCGAAGTGCCTGTGGCTTGTTCCTTTGTCTCTCTGATCCTTCAGCATTTACCCCAATATCTGGCTCTGGGTTTTTACTAAGATCATTTAGGATTCGTGCAACGCAAGGCCCCAACTTCCACATTCTTTGTGACTTTCTCCACACTTTGTTCAACTCAGAAATGTGACACTTTCTGCTGTGTACCTGACCTGTCTTACATTTGACCAGTGCTGGTCAGCACGGATCATGTAGACTTGATGGCCCTGTGCACTGGGTGTGGTCACTTTCTGCTGTGTACCTGACCTTACATTTCACCAGTGCTGGTCAGCACGGATCATGTAGACTTGATGGCCCTGTGGACTGGGTGTGGTCACTGTTGCCCAGTCATCCCCAAGAGTGCACTAGAGTGACAGAGGACAAAGTATACAGGGGAAAATGCCAAGCCCTACTAACCGAGGCCACAGTATGGCCAAGTAGGCAAGACTGTTCTAGACACCCAGGGTAATCACAGGCCCTGCCCGTAAGCAGAATGCTGCTGCATAACTGACCTTTGCTATTGAGGTTCTGTGGTTGTGATACCTTCTTCCGAGTTTGGCATTCAGTAACTGTCTCCCCTCATTTCACAGTGACGGTTCAGTGACCAGTACACTGACCCCATGCTACGTTCAGAGTTCGAATGCTCATATTTTACCACCTTCACCATTTTCAAAATCAATACCCCACTCTGAGAGAATCCAGGAAACAGGGAAATTGAAGACAGTAATGAAATGATTTAATCACAGAAATAGGCACAATCAGACCCCTGATCCTAAGTTTCTTTTCAAACTACATGGAAATGACAACCAAGGCTTACAACTACCTGTTGTACGATATTTTGTGTTCTGACAAGTAAAGCTTGCCTGGAGATCAGAGGGCAGAGCTAGCCACTAGATAACCATAGAGGCCAGGCAGTGGCGGCACACATCTTTAATCCCAGAATTTGGAAGAAGGAAGCAGGAAGATCAGGAGTTCAAGGCCACCCCGGGCTTCACGAGATTGAACCAGTCTAAAAGAGAAACCAGGTGGTAGTGGTGCACACCTTTAATCCCAGCACAATTGGGAGGTGGAGTCAGGATCTCGCCCCCATTCAGTCTGAGGGTTCGTAGAGACAGGAGGCCCCATTCAGTCTGAGCATTGGGAGAGGTAAGAAGTTTCTGGTGGCTGCTGCTCTGCTTCTCTGGTCTTTCAGCTTTCACCCTCAGTATCTGACTCCAGGATTTTATTAAGACTAATCAGGACCACACTTCAACTATCACAATATTCTAAAGCTCTGAAGGCTGTTGTGATTTGCACAATCATCGAAGATAGTGATCATTACAGCATGATTTTCTTCAAGCATTCCATCCTGTGTTCTTGGTTAAACAGCCTTTAGATGCTTCTGTTTCTGTTGAGAAACACTCAGAACATTTGTAAATCATACAGATCCTCCCACCAAGACCCATAAACTTGAAGGGCTTTATGTTCAAACCTTTCCAACCAGTCACTGATTGTATTAGGCATATGAAGAACTGCTACCCTCAGTGGCCACGAGGGTTTGAGTAAAGGCACACCATGCACTGTTGAATTGTCAGACATAAACTGGAAAAGTTCTGGACACACAAACACCCGTTCACTTTTGATGGTAATCTCACTCTCCTGACATTTCTGTACTTGGCAAGTATCAGCAATTATGTTATTTTATAGTAATGGGTTTTTCTAAGGGTTTAATTACAGGGGGGTAGGAACAACTGTAAAAAAGTGGAAGCAGGACAGAGAAGGAGGTTGACATTCTGGCAAATAAAACTGTACCATGCTATGCATAAATTGCTACAAATGCTGAGCACCAAAATTTAGTTCTCCAAAGTCTAGTTAACTTTATTCACCTGTATTTTGTTTCATTTAAACCTTAAATAGTGGGGAAATAGAATAACAGGATGGGGGATAAAATGCTGTAATTAAAAATTAAAATTTTGTAACATTATCAGTGATTTTTCACTTTGGAAATAGTATTTTTCTATGCCTCTTGCTCCCCTTAGCAGGTAGCCTGTAATAAAGTTCCTCCTTTAACAACTGCAGAGCATTGCAAGAAACCACAGTGGTTTACAGGCCACTAATTCTGTTACAGATGAAAGCATTCAATTAATTCTGCAAAATTCAGTTCCTTACAGAATGTGTTCATAGATGACCAAGAGTGTTCTAAAATGCCATACACAAGAGCCTGGCTTCAAAGTTGAAATAAAGTAACTAGGTAAGGCTCTTGAGTAAAACTTCCAACAGAAACTGGCAAGCGAGACATTCCTACTGAAACACTTTATTCCAATGGTAAATGGGCTCATTTTAATTTTCACTTTTCCATTTTAGCCCACTTTTATGCAATTAACCATTAAAAGTGAGTCATTTGTACAAACATGTCATTTACATGATGCAGTGTGATTAAATACTGCCAATAACAAGCCAACAGAGACAAGATCTCTGGTGAAACTTACGTTTTAAAGCAGAGGACAGAAACCTCAAGCTGAAGTCCACCAAGCATGGCCTCCATAGCAAACTGCTGTTAGGCAACTGGTTCAAGACTGGCAATTTGCCACTTTCAAACCCACAGGCAGCACTCAATCTCAGAGTCCCTAACACATGTCAGCCATGCAAATCAACAATCAGCACTTTCACACGCATAGAGGCTACAGGCGTAATGTAGCATATTGCACCCCAGAGTGCCCCATCCCCAGCTGACGTCCCTCATGGTCATGTTCCTGACTGCTCAGCAGCAGTCTCAGCTCACAAACACGAGCCATCTGTGGCGTTTATCTCCAGGCACCTAGACTGTTATCAGATGTGGTCTTTATGGTAGCTTGTGGTCCTTAGTCTTGTGCTCAGCACCTCCGATGGCCACTTAGTAAGTAATGTCTGGGTTTCTTGCATGGTTACCCGCACAAGGTTTGTTCCAAGACCTCATGCTGACCAACTCCAAGTCACTCCCTAAACTGGATGAATCCTTAACAATGCACTCACAATCTACTTCCTGAACCATGTGTTGTTCAGAAACACCTTTTCTTTGCTCTGGGATCACATTTCTTTTCAATTTTACAACTTTTATAGTAATAAACAGTATTATGAGGCAGAGAGAGTCAAAACAAAAAACTAAAACCACCGGCCAGGTTACAATCTCAAATTCTATTTACTATTATGGTAACATTCTACCCCCCAAGCTTCACCAGGAAAATGCTTGGTCTATTATTGACTTACCCTTGAACTTACTACTTGAAGCCAGACTCAATGACCTTGACGTCTATTAAATGTGTTTAAGAATGCAAATACTATAGTCCTAATATGTGCAATGTAGCATGAACCTTTTTTCAACAAAATGGTCAGTTAAAGGATTTTTACAAATATCCACACTGAAGAAGAGATTCCACTGAAGAAGAGATTCCTATCTGTGACCTTCTCAATTTTAGGAGGAGTTTATGGAGCTCATGAGATGATGGGAAGGAGCCTGGAGGAACGGTGGAAGGGAAGGGGGAAAACCGCAGTGCTCCTAAGTTCTTATCTCTGTGTGTCTAAGTGTGGGCACCTGTGGAAGTCAGGGGACAACTGTAGTCAGTTTTCACCTTTATGTGAGTTTGGGGGACGGACTGAGTTCAGGTCTAAGTTTGCACAGGAGAGGCCGTTACCTATTGAGTCTTCTTGCCAGCCCCCCCAGTATATGCCTAACAGCTAAGGCAGTCTTGGACTGTGTAGTATTCTTGGACATGTGTAGTATTCTTGGACATGTGTAGTATTCAACAAAAGTTTCACCAGATGACATCAACCTATACATACTTCTGCTTCCTGTACTAAAGGAATTCAATTTACACGGCGGAAAGAGGGATGTACAAGCAGGAAGCACCCAAATATATAGCTTAATGGTTCTCCATGTTCTCGGGCCCCTTCATACACAACACCGCCACATAGTCTCCAGGGAACCAGCAGTCACCAGGGAGCCTAAGGTTGGGAGGGTCACTCCACAGTCAAGTTACCTCAAGAGTTGCTGCAGCAAGAAGGTTAGCAAGTGTCTTTACACTGTTACTAGTTAGATGCTACAGCAATCCCCCCACCCCCACCCCGAGACAGGGTTTCTGTGTGTAGTTTCGGTGCTTGTCCTGGGTTTCATGTAGACCAGGCTCCCTCTGCCTCCCAAGTGCTGGGATTAAAGGCGTGCGCCACCGTTGCCCGGTGACTACAGCAATTTTAATAGTAAACCAGTGTAAGTTTTTCTCCCAATAAAAAAGGGTTAAACTATATTAATGCTGTTCAATGCCAAATAGGGTTGTGCACCTCAGCTTTTCAGGTTCTTTTTCTTGATTTGAAGTATGGTTAAAATGACTTGCAGAGTGTCCACAAGACAGGAAAATACAGACTCAGCCATCGGAAGTATGGCTCAACCAGAATGCTTCTCAATTATTTTATGATTATCATGATATAAGATTAGGATCTCTAGTACTTCTCAAGGAGGGAGGTCTTAAAAAAACAAAACAACTTTAATCCCAGCACTCGGGAGGCAGAGCCAGGTGGATCTCTGTGAGTTCGAGGCCAGCCTGGGCTACTAAGCGAGTCCCAGGAAAGGCGCAAAGCTGCACAGAGAAACCCTGTCTCGAAAAACGAAAAAAAAAAAAAAAAAACTCAAGTGTGTGTGCGCGCGCGCACGCGCGCGCACACACACACACACACACACACACACACACACGCACGCACGCACGCACAGAGTTATGGGTTTTTTTTTTGTGGTTAATTGTACTTTCAGGGTGAACTTGAATTTCACCATTTTTGTTTAAAATGTAAATGTTACCTATGATCACTAATTTGCCACAGGCATACTGAAATTAAAATGTGTAACTAGTACTGTGCAGTGTGTTTTGGGTAAACAGGGTCAACCTCTTTGAGAAAGGGACAAGGTAAGTTTTTTTGTGTCACAATTAAAAAAAATATATACACACACATATTCTTAAGATCATACCTGCATATGTAAAATCCACACTTTTTTGTATTCACATAATTTAGACAGTAGATACCAAATGTAATCACCTCAGAAAAAAAGACTACCTTATACTAAAATCAAAACAAATCTGATCCCATGATATGGAAAATAACTCCAATGTTTCTTTTAATGCTAGGAAAATTGACCACCTTCCAATGGCAACAGTACTGTTCACACAGGTAGAGAGCAAAGGCAGAAAGGGAATGCACAGAGCTGGATAAACACGGACCAGAATCACAGAACATTTAGGCAACATTTTCTTAAGCAGAACTATTTCTTTAATACATTAAATAGACTAAATATTTGGTGTGGATGGGAAGTAAGTATTTCACAATTTTAACTTGAAACCACCTGTAATAAAGCCTTAGCTCATGGTTCAGTTAAAAAAACAACCCCACGCCATTGCCTGACAATGTTAAGAGAAGGCTTACAAGTAACACACGTAACATCTCCATCACAGTGCGCAGACATCAGCCACGGAGGGTCACCAGAAAACAGCACAGGAGTCACGTCGGCCATACTACATCACCAAGTCCACGGCGTTTTAAAAAACCCTTGACCCCACGCTCAGTCTAGCTGGCAAGCACCTCGAGAGTAGGAGGACGTAAGACTTGAGAGCAAAACTCTGTCAGGACACTGATTATTTCACCTGCTTCTGGCTGACACATTTAAGTAATTTTAAGACAACATTCACCAAAAAGAAACACAGTATCACATTCTGGCTTCTTGAGCAGGACAGACTGGGAAATAGCCCAAGCTGTTTCTCTTATGAGAGGAAATCTATACTCACATTGTTTCCACATTACACCTCATAAGGACACAAGATCCATAGCTATCTAGTTGCCTCTTTCCATTTTTGTTTCCATTTCTCTTTTCCAACCAACTCTGTTTGCTACTTTTGTTATTTATTGGAAATCTTAGATTGCATTCACAGTAATAAGCAATTAGAGGGCACATAAGTCAATCCTGGAAATACTGACAGTCATGAGGCAACCCACTGCAGTATCAATTATAATGACATTGATATGAGAATAAATCCTGAGGATACCTACAGTGGACGACTCTTCCCAGGACCCCTGGGGCTTACTTTGGTCTAGCACTGAGCCTTGCACATCCGGCACAGTTGTCTGGGCATGGCAGGGCTGGTCGTCTTTCCTTAGCACGCCTGGAGAAAAGACTTTCCAAGTACATAAGGCTCCTCCGTAAGGACATGAGGCTTTTGGTTCTCTTGCTAAAGGCTACTTCCTCCAAACTGGCTAACTGCTGGAAGCGCAGAACTACCTCAGGGCCAGTTAACACCGAGCAGTAGTGCATTGGACTTTATACTCTTGAGACTCACTTTCAGACAAGACGTCCTGAGTCTCCTGTCCTGTCCAGTTACACAGTGTCTTATCATATGCTGAGATTTTCTGAGCTAAATGAATGTTCCAGTTTCTTCTATCTTCTTCTATCCTTTTAAAATGTGAAAACCTTCAAGGCCAGCCATCCCCACATTCTTGTTTCATAGATGAAGACAGCCAACGGAGAGCATTAGCAAAGATCTAGTGACACTGCGTGTACTGTGCTCTTGGGAAACTTGGCCCTGGGGGCAGGGAGCATCAGCACTCTCCGTGCTTTCTGATTTGGCTTCCTGCAGAGCTGCAGCCCCAGTCACTGTGGGTTCTCTTGGTTTAGCCCACTACAAAGTTTTGCGTTTTATAGATCGCTGCCACCAATGAAAAAACAAAGAGTCCAACACTTATGCCTTAAACATTAGGGTCAAGAAAAGCATAACTGGAGTCTGAGGTAAAGCTGGTCAAGTGTGTGCCCAATCTGCATTTTGCCAAGAAATAGGCTGGATATGTATGTGTACACACAGACGGGTAATTCACAGGCCAGAGGCTGAATCCGGTGTCTTCCAAAAATTGGTTACTTTTAAATTAAGAATTCATGCATGTTACCTAAATGCTACATTTAATTATTCTCCTGACTGAAACCACTATCTGTAAACTACACTCCTGAGGGGAGGATCAACATGCACCACCCAAGCACTGTCCCTCTGCAGCCTGTTTCTAAGCCACATCAGTCCACAGATGTCAACACTGAGAGTGGCAGAGAGACATTTTCTTAGGGACTTTCCCCAGGAAGAAGACTTCTGTAAGCTTCCATCCCACAGACAAAATGCTCCCAAAGCCAACCCTCTGCTACAACACTGCAAAGGGCCCAACTTAACACAGCCTTCATTAATGGACGTCATCTAGTGACCAGCACTGTAACCAGCCAGGACCTTAAAGCCACAGCTGGAAGGGAAGTGGAACCATCCGTGTGTTTTCCATAACTCTAAAGCTTTACATTTGTTCTTAAATAATTATGTTGTGGATTTGACTGCTGAATGATTATTGTAAGTCAGAACTGGGGAGCAAATTCTTATCTTCCACCCAAAAATAGTGAACCAGAAATTTTTAAAAGAAGGCAGAAGGTAGGGGGCTGGAGAGATGGCTCAGTGGCTAAGAGCACTGGCTGCTCTTGCAGAGGACCTGAGTTCAATTCCCAGCACCCACATGGCAGCTCACAACTGTCTGTAACTCCAGTCCAGTTCCAAGGGATCCAACACCCTCATACAGGCAAACCAATGTACATGAAACAAAAATAAATCATCAAAAAAATTTTAAAAAAGAAAAAAAAGGAAGGCAGGTCATTTTTTCTCAAAACAAAGAAAACAAAACAAAATAAAAAAAATTTCATCATCCCATGTATAGAATTAATGAACCCATCTCACCTCTATTATCCTTTCTTCCCAGGGGTCCTACATCTCAAGCATTTGTGAGACTCTGGGTCCACTCTATGACTCACAGGAGCAAGCCAAGGAACACTGAGGTGTTAGTATACAGAGGCCCAGAAGCCTTAGAAAATCACTTCTATTGACCACAGGCTAGACAGTCAGGCCTGAACTACCTTCATTTAGGCGAGCACTAGGTACAGGGAGCTTGACCTCGTGGTGATACTTCCTGTCTCTGCAGCAGCAGTCTCATGGGAGAAACAAATGAAGAACAAGCTGCCACATTATTCCAAAGTCAACCCTCAGCACTGGGTGTAAAGGTTAGGGAAGAGGACTAAGAAAGCTTTATTGGTGGTAATGAACTTCTCATGATTTTTACCACAGAAACTAAACATCAGCATTCCAGCTGAACTGTCAAATTGGACTGTGGTAGACTTCATTTTAAATACACTGACTGAGTCATAATGGATAATAGAGAATAATGTCTATAAGCAAATGAGGAATGTCTTTACTGGGATCTGAGATTTAAACAATGTAACCACTCATCATTGTTAAGATGACACCACTGTTAGTTTTTCTGAGGGTATATGTGTGTATACATTCATACATATACATGAAAACTTAAAAGGTTTGAGGCAGCTCTCATATACATATAAGCTAGCTATACTGTCCAAGATAAAAATCTCTACTCAAGAAGTCACACAAACATGAAACCAGGTCTTATCACAGCAGCATTCATGAGATTAACTCAGTATTTTCTGGCTGCAAGTACATAAATTACATTCCAAGAAATAACCTGTCCCTCAATCTCCTCAGACAAAAGGCAGTCTGAACAAATAAAACAATCAAGGAGACTTGGAAAAAGAAAAGGCCCCAACAGCAGGGATCTGTCTCTCTGAAGACCACACACCATCATCACCGATTGTACTAAAACTGACACTTCAGAATGCCCCCAAACAGGAATGAGATGCTGTTACATCTAAATTATAATAAACAATACCTGAAAATTTGCTGCTCGTCAGTCACAGGACATTTAACGGTGCAAAATTCCAGAGCTACTTGTACGATTAGCACAGCAGACCAAGGACTACTGGCTTCCTGCAGACGTGCAGTCCTAAGGGGAGGACGAGGGATGAGGACACACAAGAACCAACTGCAGGTGACGGAGGGCGGGATCAAGGGAGCCTGGGGTGGAGCAAGTGTGGCCCACGAGACGGGAAGAGAGGAATAAGGAGAGGGATGTATCAGGTCACCAAACCCTTAAGCCACCGTAAGAAAGGCCCTTGGCTGGCCCTGTGAAGAGACACTTGAGAAAGTCGCACAGAGGGAACAAACAGGGCAAGCGGGAAGGGCCATCCTAGACTGTCTCGTGGTACTTTATACCCCATTACCAGCCCAGCTACCCTCCAGCAAAAAGGACCCTTAACTCTTCCCAGTACTTAACAATCTTTGAAAAAAAAAATGTCCTAAGGACACGTGGGCAGCTCTTGGAAGAGGTAGGGAAACCAAATGGGCATCTGCTTTCTTTGATTTCAACTAGCAAAGCCTACTAAAATGACTGCTTTCCCTTAGAGCCTCAGTCTGGATGAACTGACCACAAAGGCACAACAAATGTGAAGGTGAAGAAATGAAGGGGATCTGACAGCTGAAACACAAATCAACTAGACTACTACACTAAACTGCCTATTGTTTACAATTAAAAAAACCCACCCTAGATATTAAACAATCTGCAAACACATCTGGAATACAGATAAAAGTACAGAATTAGAAGAGTAAGCTCTCAAGAAAACACACGCAGATTCCTTCTGGCAAAGTGACAGGCCCTGAAGGCAACAGTAACTCCCACAGGACTAAGCCCAACTCGAGGGCCAGGCCACTGTCGCAGAATCACAGTGGCTGGGAAACAACAGGCCTCAGAAACTATGCGGCTGACTAAATGTATACCATAATGTAGTCAGTGTTAACTGGTGTGGCTCAGACTCTAGCAGGAAAGCGTCTTTAAATCAGAGCCCAATTCAGTGGTATTCCAAAGACTGGCCTAATCCAGTTGAATTTTCTAATCTGGTTAAAAAGAATTTCAAATTACTGTGGAGCCGAGATGCTAAATAATGCAGATAACTTAAATCAAGACAAATCAACCAAGAGGGAGGTCTCAAGTATCATCTGGAACAAAACCCAGCCCTACCAAAGTGGGGGAAGTCAACAAAAACTAGGCCATGGTAGACAAAGTGTAATGCAAGCCCACACATTTCACCGGAAAGCAAACATGACCACTGAACACTTCACACGAGTGCTTCCACTGTGACATCCATGCTCCGTGACACCAGGACGTCTCAAGGGAAAATCCCATTTCACACTGTACAGAAAACCTACACTTGAACCCAAACCACAGAGCTGCGTGCACTGTTGGCACCCCTCTGTTAGCATGTCTGATGCTCTCCCACTACTTTCAAAGCTGCCCTCTGCACCCACAACTATGGCCCGACAGCCAGCACAAGCTTTTCAGTCTGTGAAGACTTCCAATGAGGGGCAGTTTACAGTGCTTATCTCCATCAGGCTCAGAAGCAATGATGCTCAGGACATTTCCTCTATCACAAGATGGGCAGTAGAAGCAGTGATAATCAGTGTGCAGCAACAAGTCCAGAAGCAAACAGTAGCTCTCCATACTGGTGAATCTTTACATAAAAGAGCTGCTAAGGTGGCACTGACCTGGTGTAAGTAAGAGATTTCCACAACGAAGATCTGAGGATCAGACTAGATTGAGATGACCAGCAGCCTATCCCAAAGCAGTGCCACCTTCAACCAATTATCATCATCTTTATGTTTGGGTGTGTACAGTTATGTATAGAATTATGATGCCTGATAGTGAGTCTCCGTAAGCCTGGGCCATTGGGTTTGATGCTGTCCCAGCAGTGCTGAATCTCCCTCAGCTCTTCACATGGCTCCTTCCTTCTAGGTTAGGTGTTAGCTCAAGCGTCGCTTTCCCAGATGCCTTCCCAATGTCCTACCAGAAGCATCCTGTCTGCCATTCTCTAGACAGTACCCTGTTTACCTCCTACACAGACACTTGAGCACAGGTTAAGTCAACTGCTATCTCAGCAAAGGCAGGAACTAGAGCTATCTTGTTCACCTTCACCCAAAGGTTAAAGTTCATGGCACATTAACAGGTGAACAATAAATATTTGAATAAAAAATTACTATACCAAATTTACATGAACATATACATACACACACAAATATAGGAAAATGGGAAATATCAAATAGAAAACCAAATGTTGAAAAGCATCAAAAATGATACCTGTACATACATGTGATTATGGTTTCAAAGAGTAAGTACCAAAGGTATTTGTCTGCAAAAATATGAAAATTTACAAAAAGGAGATCAGGAAGTATTTTCCATTTGTACGGAGCTGCAAACAAGAAGGGAGTCAAGACTGGACATGAATGACTGTTGTGTGCGGCAGGACAGCCAGAATCCTTAGTGCAGAGCAGAAAAGGTCAGTGGCCACATACCCAGGGTTGGCCAAGAACAGCTCAGACTGTAGGTAACTGCAGGCTACAAATCTTGATAAACGGCTTAGCTCCCAGTCATTAAAATTTTGAAATTAGGTAATAGAACATTCTATTTATAAATTACATACAATACACTGTAAAAACAGATGGCCCCTATCTACTGACCATATCTCAGTGTCACTCTATGTACTTGCAAAAGCAAGTACATTTGAAGTACATTTGCCAAAGGTCCGTTTTGTAATACAATCTGGTAGTTAAGTGAGAGGAGGCAGAAGGTCGGCTGCCTTTACGGAAAGATCCTTTATTATTAGACTGGCTTTGGAAGAAGGAAACACATACTGAGGTGATTCTAGAATAGCCCTGAAAATAATTATACCGCCACCTGTGCACGTTTGGAGATGACAGTTATCAATAGACCAACAGCTTACACAAGTCCATTATCATCTGCTGAAGTCTGGCTCTGAGACAAAAGACTTCCTCTCCCAAAACTCTCACTGGACCCAGGATTAACTGCTCCAGCAGCCACCAGTGCAACTGTTTTCCACAATGAGATCATGCTATACTGTGTTATATCAGAACAGAAATGGGATGAAGAGTCCAGAAGCTTCCAGTAAGGTTTCCTTCTAATGAAATTCAGCAGGAAATAAACACACACACAGAAAGAACGATTGCTAAGATCCATTGGATACATTAAGGTCAAGGATTTCCAAGTTAATCCGCTTTTCTTCCCCCAAGTTTGTTTATTTTTGGTAAAAGGCAGAAAAATTAGTTTCTACAAGGAAAATCTGCTTCTAAATGATAATTTGAAAATCTTAATATATATATATATATTATATATTAAAAAAGACACAAAAATAATGGCAAAGTGGGGACAACAGATTAGGTACTGTGACTTTATAAAGGCTTGCCTAGACCAAGAAGCAGCATACACACACACCCCTCAGGTATGCACACTAAAAATGTATCCAAACAGCATAGTACTGCAATACTGGGTCTCCATACATTACCTGTACACATAACTACTACTGTTATTAATAACCTGTGGGACACTGTCTTATGCCCAGCAAGACATCACTAAGTCTTTAAGTCTTCTCTTCCCCCTCAGGGGAGGGCATTTCTAGACACTAATTTTCCCATCTAATATTCAAACATAGGAAACAGAATCCACAAGGTGCTTTAACTGTTGAGACCTCAAGTGCTGTTTTCACTCTGGAATTTTTGGATAGCAAGGAGTCCACGGGATCATACACAAATACTATGACAGAAGAGTTGTTACATGAAGTCTTTTGATGGACTTGACTGGTGCTGGACTTTATGACATGCTTGAGCATCGCACCGAAGGGGATCCCATCTGAGTTAATACTTTGTCCAACCACTGCAGAGGGCCATTCAGATGAAGTTCAATCCAGCAAGGAGTACTTGTTACTGTCTGCCTCCTATTTGAAAGAACACAAAAAACAATTAGGAAATGAAAAGGCTGTATATAGTAAAATCAATTTTTTAGAATAATTATTAAATTTGTTGTTATTAATTAATTATTAGTTTAAAAATGATTTTTACTGCTAAAATGATCTAATGAGTTTTGTCCTTTGTCAAAACCTGTATTTATTTATGTGTGGCACATGTATGCATATGTATGTGGACAGGTGCATGCAGAGGCCAGAAGGGTTGTGTGCAGGGGCAGTTTGGGTTGGGTGTCCTCCCCAGTTGTTCTTTACCCTGTTCCCTTGAGTTATGGTCAGTCACTGAACCTGAACCTCCCTAGGCTAGCTAGAATGGCAGACCAGCAAGTTTCTAGGATCCATTTGTCCCCCAACACCATCCCATGCTGAGGTTACAGACACACACACAGCCATGTCTGGCTCTTCTCAGTGCTAGAGATTAGCCTCAAGTCCTTATTCTTCCATAGCAAGGGCTTTTACCAACTGAGCCATCTCCCTAAAATTTCATCTTTTTCAAAGATTTACAAAATCATCCTTTCCTTCTGAAGTTAAATTAGTATACTCAGGGGATACTTAGAGAATTTAGGTACTACTATTAGTGAGGTTAGGAGGAGAGCCATAAACCAGAAAAGACTGCCTCAAGGAAACTGACACATTTGATCACCCTACTCTTACATTTATCAAATGAAGTCTAAGTCAAAAAAAGATTCAAACTGAAAGTCTGCTGACTCAAGCTAAATCCTTGCCACACAATGTTAAGACTTGGAGCTAACTTTTCTTTAGATACATAATGAGCAACACCCTTGCCAGCAACATCTCTCAGGCTTCTGGTTGAAAAAGCAAAATTAAAACCTTCTGGTGCTTTAACAAAGGGGCCATTGCCTATTCCCTGGATCACAGAACATCCTGCTGCTCTAGTCTTAGACATTGGATTTAGCTCTATCTTATTTTCTACAAAGTGTCAGTCAATACATTTACTTTTGCTTCTTCAATACGACATACTTCAGTCATGATAAAAGGTTATCATCAGCTCTCCAGTTGTAAACAATTCATGCCCAATAGCATTTTAGACTGGATGTCTAAGGAGCTACAGATGGCTGGGCATTTAACAAGTGTGCACCTGCTCTTTTAGAGGACTGAGTTCAGTTCCCATCACTGGCATCTGGCAACTCATAAACACCTGTAACTCCAGCTTACACCTGTAAATTCAGCTAACACCTCTATTTCACAGGAACCTGCACTCACACAAGCATAGATCCATGTATACACAAGATACAGACATATAATTAAAAACACTACATATCCAAGCATGTATATAGTGCTCTGAAACACATGGTGTCACCGCCTTACTAGATCCTTGATTTTCAGTACGCTCTAGCCAACTTCCAAGAAGAGGCATCTGAATTTCCATGCCTGAGGATTTCTGCTCTGCTTGCATGGGCAGCAGGCTGGGAGGTACAGTACACTAACATCTGCTGACTGGGAGAATGCACAGTGAGACCACAGGTGAGGGAGGCCACATACTCAGCAGATCTCAACTTAACTGTCCAGTTTTATTTTTATTCTATTTCTAATCACACTGCTACTCTGCTATCAGAATTAGTTTCTCATACTGTTCTTTCCTATCTTCTGAATTTTATATGCATCTTTTAGAATTTAGATCATAAGCCATTCTAATCAGAAAGCTTTGAGTACAAAGTAAAGACACCTCTAATTTTATAAAGTGACACTAACCTTTCAAATATACCCTTTTATGGTTACTTAACATTCTACATTATGTTAAAAATGCATGTTTACACACAATTTAATCTTATCTTCTATAATTCCAGCACGGCAATTTTCCAGTTTCTTATCTTCAGGCCTCCAACTTTCTTGACTAAGGGTCTCAGATAGCCTAGCATGCCCTTGAACTCCCAGACATGTCACAGTACCTGGTTTATGTGTTTCTAAAGATTGAATCCAGCACCTCATGCACAATACACAAGTATTCTACCAACTCCTTAACCCTCTTTCTTCTATTATTTTACATAAAGATCTGTTGAAAATAGATAGAAATGAACTACAGAAGATGTAAAAGGGAATACAAATAATCACTGTGAAGAAGCTAGAAACTGAGCACGGAATTCATACCGGTATTCTGCTCCCCACCCCTTCACAAAACTCATTCTTATGGTGCACATTCGAGTTAGCTGATAAACGGCTTCAAAACCCTGATTAACAGACTGAGCCAGAAGAGCAGCAAATTCTTGGTTGTTGAAGATCTTCAGGTTACAGCCTAGAATTGAGAAATTGTAAAACATAAAAACACTATGATTATTAGAAAATAACTTTAAAGAGAATCTATGTTTTAGAATGAGCATGCAAATTCTAATTTAATTTAATTAGGAGCTCCTAATTCCTAAAATCGTTAGCAAGTAGAAAGGTTAATGAAGCAAGCTGGTGTGACAGGTTGATTTGCAGGGTGCATCCATACCTGGTGGAATTTTGCATACTGTTGCAGGGTGCCAGCCGTACCTCTGGTTACAGTTGGGGCTCTGCACAAAGATCGCACTGTCACTCAGGCACTCAGCAAACACTTCCCCGCCTATGTAATACAAGCGCACTCCCCTTCCTAAAACAAAACACACACGGTTAGTTCCAGAACACCGACCTTTCCAGTGGTCCTGAGAGAACCATCTAGAAGGAATTCTAAAGTATTCTCATGACCTTTTCTTACAGCCATGCTTTCCTGAATTGTATTCTGAAATATACCACAGCATTTTCCCCAAGAACCTGTAACAATAATTTGATTTTTTTCAAAGTAACACTCATGAAAAACATTTCAACAGTATAGAAAAAGTACACAATAGTGAGACAGTTTTGTACAAATTACCTGGGGCTTTAAAATTCGTTTAAAAATTGAGTTAATTTTGAAGAAATTAACTGATGTCTGGGAAATTTCCTTAAAGAGCCCATGAGGTTAAGGAAAGACTCGACAATATCACGCCCACCTTGCTACGCAAACGTCTACTTTGTAGTGCAATCACAGACTAGGTGAAGAGATTTCCCAGACACAAGTGAGGTGGCAGCAGATCAGCCTGTTCTGCAGCAGAGGGAAAACCAGTGGTGCAACCTGCAAGCTGCGTGGAGAGGGTCAACGCAGCTGCTGCCCTCCTACTGTTTAAGACTCAGGAATTGTGAAACATCAACCACGCATTTAGCTATCAAGAACGGCTAAGGTTCAAGCCAGACGATATACCCAGAAGGCGGTATGCCTGTGTAACATGGTCCTAGATTAAACTCCCAACACAGGGGTGGGTGGGGGGAATAGCAATGGAGTAAAGTCAGACTTTTCTGACCAACCCACATGATAAACTAACAACCAAAAGTTTAAAAAATGTAACAGATAATCTAAAATTATAGTGAACTAAAATTTTGTCGGGAGACATGAGCAAGGGCAGAGGAAACCACTAATTTTCTTTAAAATACAAAGGTCTAATTAAAACACAAAACAGAAAATTAAAACTATGTAGGTCAAGTCAGGGGGCTGCTCCCAGCCTTTTTCTCTGCAGTGGTACCTGGATGCAAGATGACCTAATGTAACAAGATTTGAGACGTGCACACGAAGCCAACAACACATTCCCTGGCCGTTATCATTTCACAGAATCAACATCAACTTTTGGTAATCGACATCGTTTTTCACAGGAGGAAATGGTTAGTTAATCCAAAACAGACAAAAGAAAGCTGAAGGTAAAGAAGGGATCAGACAATGCTCAGAATCTGTAGTTCTACACTTTTTGCCTCACTGGTTAAAAACAAAATACTAAGGTTCCCAAAAAATTTGGGTATATGTGGATTATAATCATGGAAACTTACCACGTTAGATTCAAAACTGAGATAAAATGTATTCATCTTTTAAAAACTTAAAACAAATCTATTAATGCAAACAAGATTTATGAGAAATAACCATTTTCAAACTTAAATCAGGATCAAGTGGTAATATTTCAGTTTGACAAGTTTCTTTACTGTCTGGATTCTCAGGTCCACATTTCATCTCTTCACAATCCTAGGCCATGCAGCCTCCGGGATGCCCCACTCTCTGCTGTGGAGAAGCAGCAGGCAGCATCTCAGCATGACTGGGAAAGCAGTGCTGACCTCACACAAGTGCCAAGATGCTTCGTGAGGCTGTCGGATTAGCCTCCATTGTATTTTGAAGCCCCAGATTGCATTCTGATTATACACAAAATCACTGAGAGGAGAGGGAAAGTGAAAAAAGATCACGACTGAACATTGTCTCTTTTTTTTTTTGGACTAAAAGAGACTGAGCAAGCTAGTCATTTTAACACTTTTCATTATCAAGAGTGCCAAATTAAAAGTAAAAAAATCAAAGACCAAAGTTTGCAGATTAAGAATCACCAAGACCCTATTAAAGGAATTCACAGATGGAGACAAAGTTGGGCTTTTTCATACAAGCTTTTGATCTAATGCCATATACTGTCCACATTATGAGTAAAGTGAGTTCCCCTGCCCCCGTAACACACACATAAAGAGGATCAAACGTACCTATATGCCTTCTTGTCATTTCTACAGTAGCATTCCGGTTAACGTTGGAGAGCAGTCCTAAGCAGAACCTCTCTGAGTTTGATGGATCTGTAAAGCCGTCTACAGTAAGCGAGGGCTGGGATGCGTGGAAGGTCTCTCCAACCCTCTGGTTTAGTTCATAATATGCTATTGAACACCAAAATGCAGGTTCCGAGTAAGTCACTGGCTGCAAATCTGAAGTAAAGGAGGAAACGTTGCGTGAGCAACTCAACACGAGCACACCCCATGCCAGCAGACAGGCAGCAGCTCAGAAGTCACTGTGAGCATCTACACCGGTTTAAACAGGTTAGACCAGATTTCCAGTGTTTCATATAAACTTTGTTTCCATAGATGACACCAGATACACAATTTTTAAAAATTTCCCCATCTCATAAAGTTAATTTATGTTGGATTATTTATCTTATTAGCATTCATCTAGTTCTTGTTTAAACACAAAACAAAACATGGGTCAGCCTGCTGTACTTGGATGCATTTCTTTTTTTTTTTTGGTTTTTCGAGACAGGGTTTCTCTGTGTAGCTTTGTGCCTGTCCTAGAACTCACTCTGTAGATCAGGCTGGCCTCGAACTCACAGAGATCCGCCTGTCGCTGCCTCCCGAGTGCTGGGATTAAAGGTGTGCGCCACCACCATATCAAATGCATCAAAAAGGTAATTGTGAATAGGACAAAATATACAGCTGAGTGAGGTTGAAAGCTACATAAGAAGAGCTCTTACGGTGGGAGAATCCAAACATTCCCTGACACTGTCTACCCTCCTACACGTTAGGAAGCAGAGTGAAGGACAAGTGTGCAAGCGAAAACAGGTAATGGCTATAGTAGAGTATTTTAAGGTGCGTTACTTTTGTTCATGGTGCATTTGTTTAACTCTGTGTAAAACACCTGTTGGTCTAATAAAGAACTGGCCAATAGCAAGGCAGGAGAAAGGTTAGGTGGGGCTGGCAGGCAGAGAGTATGAATAGAGGGAGAAATCTAGCAAGAGGGATTGGAGAGCTAGCATCAAGAAAATGAGGAGGACTCCAGGGGCCAGCCACCCAGCTACACAGCAAGCCACAGGGTAAGAGTAAGATTTACACAAGTCAGAGAACCAGAAAAGCCCAAAGGCAAAAGGTAAATGGGATAAGTTAAGGAAAGCTGGCTAGAAACTAAGCCAAGCTAAGGCCAGGCATTCATAATTAATTATAAGCCTCTGTGTAATTTTTGGGTGCCCCCCCCAAAAGAGCCAAAAACCCCCAGCAAATGGCACCACTGGACAACTCACTAAGAGAAAATGAGTATCACATGCAATTAACTTCTGTAATTTTGACTGAGATATATCTTAAGGAAGATCACAAGAGGAAAAAAAAATGACAATTTGAAAGACACATCCTAAATAACCATCCGTCAAAACCTTGTACAACTTCATAAAGAACATAGTTTCAATGACTCAGACTGTCTCATAAACTCCTGCCAACAGAAAGCAGTACCAACACATTGTATCAATCCTTCTTACATCACTGATATAAACCCGATTTTTTTTTTTTTTTGGATACATACAATAAGTAATTTCCAGAGAGGACTTTCCTTAATCCAGTGAAAACAGTAGGAAGTAAGAGCAACTTACCCAAGCTGTGATTGACAGGCGAGAGAGTGGTAGGAGACAGCTCAGCTGGGGAGCCTAAGTCACAGGAAGAAAAGGACACTGACATTTCTCCAGAACTTAGGATCAAGTAATAATATAATAGTTCTGACTTTTTCACCAGTAATAAGTACACAGACAATTATGCCCCAAGGATTAAAAATACATGACTTATTTTAGTTTAACTCAGGGGGCTGCAATCCATGAGGTACAAAAATTAAGCACTGAATAACTTGTTTCTTTCTATCGACATAAACTGGCTTGTATTCTCACCACCCAGGCCACCCACCCAGAGAAACCTATTACTGACAGCTTAGCGTATCTGTCCAGAAATATTTTATAAAATATATCAGCAAATATATTTCTGCTTTGTGTCCCCCTTTTATGACAGTTGACAGTTCTAGACATCTGCATGAGTTATCTCATTCGAAACCCTTTGGGCTGCCGCTCCTATGTTGCTCTTCTATCTACCTCTATCAGTCGGCAGCCTAACATTATACCATGGTACCCTCATGACAGATGATTGCTTACTTAGGAACCTTTGATTACTCCCAGTTTTTCTGAAAGGAACTCAGTAAGCACCAGATCAAAGGGTTAGTGCCTTCGCAATTTTGACAGATCCTGGCTAAATTATCATCCACAAAGGTTGTACCAGCAAACATTCCCATTACCACCACCAAGGCATAACTGACAACAGATGAAAACATGGTCTGCACAAGCACAATTTTAAGCCACGATGGTAGTGCGTGCCTGTAATCCCACCTCCCAGGAGGTGGAAGCAGAAGATGAGGAGTTTAAGGCCAGCTTCAGCTACAGAACAAGTTGGAAACCAGCACAGGTGGGCTACAAGAGACCTTGTCTTTTTATTTCATTTTGAGACAGGGTCTCAATATGTAGCTCTCGCTGTCCTGGAACTCACTATGTAGACCAGTGACTTTGAACTCAGAGATCCACCTGCCTCTGCCTCCTAAGTGCTGGGATTCAAGATGTGTGCCACCATGCCAGGCTAAGAGGCTCTGACTTAAATGGACATTTTCATTTACATATCTCTTAGTTTATTTCTACTTTAATTCAGTTTTGTGACGTCTGCTTTTGCACTGACCATTTACTGACCTGCAGGAGTTTGTAATATCCCAGTCAGGGTTGCAGAACATTTGTCATTTGTTTGGTGACTCAATTCTAATTCTGATAATGCAGCATTTACTGAGGCTCATGTCCCAGTTTAAGAAAACAGCTTTGAGAATGGCTACACCTGTCTGGATTGTGTCTAGGGTTTTCCCACTAAGCAGGACACCTGGCTTGGTTGGAGCTGAAAAGACCCATCACTTACTCAGAACTTCCACACCAACCTTGTGAAAGACTCACAAGAATTGGTAAACACATTAGTAAAGACAGCTGTAAGGGTCTGTGACCAGACTTGTGGCAGTTAGGTAGATGCCATTTTCTATGCTCTAACAATTTCAGTTGTTATTTTCACAGCACACTCCTTAAGAATTCAGTAGATTCTGTAAATTTCAGTTAACAAATCTGAGAGATTTCTCTATTCTGTGAACTTTAGTATTTATTGAAATTGGCTGTACTAAATTCTATTTTCTTAGAAAAATATTCATTTTTTTCTGTTCTGTGTAAATATTCTAAATCTAATCCAGAAAATACAAGGCACAAATACACCAATTGAGGGGGAAAGCCAAAGAAGCAGAATTTATACTGTATTTGTTGTCAATGTTAAATCCTCTTACTACAATCACAATCAGCGCCAACTCCATGAGCAGCGTCCTCTATACACTCAGGCAAAGTTTCAAAAGGATCATGCTCCACATGCAGCTCCAGCTGCCAATGTACAGACGGAGCCTGAGGGAGGCCGGAGAGCAGCACTCTGCTCCATTCACCCTACAGACAACACATACAATAGCATGGGACACAGGGAAAGCTGCAGTCACCAGACACCGATCAGACAATGAGAACTGGCAAGCACTATGTTTTAGAAAACAATTTATTACACAATCATGTTCTTTCTTCAATCTGAAAAGAACGCTGGCAAATCACAACAGGTACAAATGAGAAAGGTCAAAATGTGCTTAGAACAATGAACTGAAATCCACGGTATTTCCTGGGAGAGATAGAAATAACTGGAGAATGAGGAGCTGCCCAATCATTCCTATCTTCTCACATTGACAAAGCTATAAAATACTCATCAGAAGTAACCAGTAAGCTTGCTGTTGAATTCTGTCAGGTGTGACTAAAGATTTTCTTTTCAGAAAATATTGTTTTAAACAACTGGTAATTAATCAATGAATCACTCACATTATAAATGCTACTGGAGTCTGGCTATAAGACAAGAAGTGCCTATCTGCAGCCAAAGCATCTAGAGGAATGCTCATGGATCCTTGGCTTACAAGTTCATGTATGCTTGTAGGATGAGTTTCTCAGAAAGGAAGCATTGTTTTTATAAGTGTTTTTATAAGTGTCAAGGTTCACTACCAAAATGTTGAGTCCTACCAAGAAAAGCTAATGAACTTGTATTTTTTTGCACTATCACTGTGTGGTGATATCTGCCAAATTAACAGCTTTAAGAGAACGATTCTTTTATCATTTTTTTATTTTTAAGTAGTACATTCTTATTTTTACCCACTTTCTTTCTATTAATTCCTATCTTTTCTCCTTTTTTTGACTTCTACATTTTTAAATTTAAATCAGTTCCTAGAAATCCCATGCATGTGTAAACACTTTCCTCAGTTTGGGGATCTACTTTAGTGTATCTTTAAAGGTGATGCTAAAACTTCACTACAAAAACAAAACAAAACAAATAAAAACCCCTCAATTTCCTTTTGAGAGTATTTTTAGGGCCACAGCAACATTGAGTATCAACTGTAAAAAAGGTCTCATATATACCTGCCTCTCTATCAATGATCCCATACCCCAATGGTAGATATGCTACATTCGGTAAACATACTAAGATGTATTGTTATCAAACTCCACAGTTTACAACAAGGCCCACTCTTGTGCTTATTATCTGTAGGTTTTGACAACTGTATAATACACATCCTCCATTTTTACTATCACAGAGATCAGCCTCACTGCCTATAGCTTTACCTACTCAATTCTTCTTTCTCTATAACCTTAAATTCTTTCCTGTTTTCAGAAGGTCTGCCTTTTCAGAATGTCAGGCGGTTGGGGTCGCATAGTATATATATGGCATGTACAGATCACTTTTCATTTAGTATTATGTGTCTTAAGTTTGACCATATGCTGTCATTTCTTCTTCATGCTGAGTGACATGAGACTGTCCAGACGTACCACAATTTATCAACATCTTGGTTTTATCCAAAAAATTTTAAATTATGGATCAAGTTGCTATAAGCACCCAAGGTCACTTTTTGTGTGGAGGATTTAAGGTTTCAATTCATCTGAATAAGCACCAAAGAACCACACTCAGTACTGCATGGTGAGTATGTTGGTTGTACTACAGAGCCACAATTATAAAAGAACAAAACAGGTACCCAGACTACAGGAAGCAAATAGAGGACCCAGAACTAAACCCACCTAGTTACAGCTATACTCTCAGACAGACACACAGACACAGACAGACACACACACTTAACACTACCATTAGAAAAATCACTTTGGAGACTGCATCTCAAGCATATAGGAGTTGGACTGAGTATAGAGAGTAGTAACAGGCTTGCCCTGCATGCACGAGATGCTAGAATTTTCTATCACCACAATCAATAAATGAATAGAACTTTTTCAACCAGATAAAGAACATATATAAAATATTCAGTTAACAGTCTCAATAGAGAATTATGCATGCATTCATTCTGTAATCATAAATAATACACAACTATTGTTATTTTACTTGAAAACATACTATGTGTGACATGTGTGCCCCAGTGCATGTGGGAAGGTCAGAGGACAACTCTGAGTTGCTCGTCTCCTCTCACCGTCATGTGGCTCAAGTACAGAACTGACTTGTAAGAGAAAAATTATAGGTTATTTTCTAGTTACTTAACTCTATCCTTTCATCTCAAAATTTTATGCATGCTTTGAAAAAGCAGCATGGCTTGGCATGGTGGTACATGTCTGTAATCCTAACAATTTGGGAGGCTGAGGCAGGATGGTGCCTGTGAATTTGGGACTAGTGTGGTGAGTTTCAGGCCATTCTGTGTGATTATGGTCCAGTGTAACTGAGGTCCTGTCTCAAAGCTCAAAAAAAAAAAAAAAAAAATTAAAAAGTAGAATGTATTAAGTACCTACAAAGTTCACAAACTATTAAATATGTTACTAATATTAGTAATTCATCCTCAAACCTTATTAGTTTTATATAAGTCAACTATAACTCATATAAAAATGTACCACAAATTGAATGGCTTAATATTACTCTCACAGGGGTCAGCAGGGCCATACTTCTACTGTAGGGACATAACTCACGTTGTTCAGCCATTCAAAATGTGGTAGACATCTGTGTTGTTTCCATTTGTGAAATGAAATATATAATGTTTACAACACAGACATTCTTGCAAGTTTCGCGTGGACCTGTTTAAATTTTCATGGGTATAGATCTAGGAGTGAAATGATGGGACTAAGTAGTAATCTTGTATTTAATTTTTGAAGAACCAACTTTCCTAAAATGATTACAATAACTTACATTCTTACCAGCAATATATGAACACTTCAGTTTTTCCACAATCTCACTAATAGTTGTTAGTCATGTTCTTAATACAGATATCTAGGAGGGTGAAATACTGTTCCACTTGTAATGTATGATGTATGATGTTCAACAACTTTATACGCTACCTACCACAGTGCAAAGATACTGTTCACTGAAGAATACATAGTTGAAAAGCCAAGTATCAAGTGCATCAACATACGTAAAGTGCTACATCCAATGATCATTAGATTATCATCTACTTTCTATCTACCACTCCTACAGTCAGACATAAATGCTGGCTAGAGCAGAGGTATCTTTCCTGGGCGTCTAACATATGGACGGAGTCAAACAAAATTGATTCAAAGCTCTCCCCTTCTCCTCCAAAATTAATCCATTTAAAAATAATTTAGATAGGCTAGAGAAGGTAGCTCAAGCCTGTAATTCAACCACTCGGAGGCTATGACAAGATGATCTGAGTTAGAGGACAGCCTGGGCCACACAGTAAATTTCAGGCCAATTTGGATTACTAACTGTGGTGGTCTGAGTAAGAATTGGCCCGCATCGGGCTCAAATATTTGAATGCTTAGTCACCAGAGTGGCACTACTTAAAACGATTAGAAGGATTAGGTGTGGTCTTGCTGGAGGAGGTGTGTCAATGGACATTCTCTCTGCCTATGAATCAGGATGTAGCTCTCAGCTACTGCTCCAGGACCTGCTTGCATGTAGCCAGGCTTCCTGCCATGATGCCTATGGACTAAACCTCTAAAATGGTTAAGTAAGCCCCCAATTTAATGTTTTCTTTCGTAAGAACTGCCTTGGTCATGGTGTCTCTTCAGAGCAACAGAATAGTGACTAAAACACTAACTAATCCTTATGGTAAGACAGTTGAATAAATCACACTAGACAAAGACATCAAAGCATTTTCAAGGGTACCCTACTTGGTTCCCCTGGGCTACAGAGTTTATTATTTGACAAATAGCTTAAAGTTTTGGGGTACGTAATATTCATTACTATATGCTAAAACAATAGTTAATTATCAGATATTAATCAAATTTAGATCAGGAACAAGGTACTTTGGGCAAATGGTTTACTATTAATTCAGAACTCACTATTAACTCACAGAAAAGCTGCCCCCCCTTCTATTCTCAAATACAGTTATGGATGACTGTGGTCTTTTATGAAAGGTGTTTATTCACGGGCTAATTAGAACTTTAACAGTAGTGCAGAATACTTGGGGAAAAAGGTATTGAGTACTTTCAAGTTTTCACTTAATCTGGTAAGAGAAACATCTATCAACTGTGCAGACTGGTGCATGCTCATTTTTATGTCAACCATGCCCATTTGACAGCTCAGATACTGTGAAGACGGGAGGTTCGCTTTTTGGGTACATTTCTCAACTTCTCTAAGTGCCAGCACATACTACTCTTGAGTCAATAGTGTGCATTTTCACATTGTGATGGGTAGCTATTGTGTGGGCATGTGTGTTCCATGGTGCATGTGTGGTGGTCAAGAGACAACTATGGGAGTTGATTCTCTCCTACTCTGTGGGTTCCGAGGATTAAACTCAGGCTGTCATGGTAGCAAACACCTTTAGGCACTGAGCCATCTTATTAGGCTCCAGAATCAAGTTTTATTCCTAAAAATTCTTGATCTGTGGTTAGTTCAATCTAGTGATATACTCTGAGATCACAGAAAGCCAACTCAATGACTGACAACTGAGACATTCATATTTACCTGTGTCCATACTTTGGTTCAACTGTTGATCACTTGTTTCTCCATCTTCACTGATATATCCAGGTGGTGGTGTTTCTACAAAAGTTTAGAACAAATCAAATATAGCTGATTTGATTTCAGCTTTTTTTCCCTGCTACCATATACAAGCAACGAGAAAATCAAGGAAGTATGCATGTATGTGTACACATATACATCATTATAAAAAGCAAAAGTAGGTTTGCAACTGAGGGTTTAATCCATGACTTGAGGGTAAATCCCTAAAGCAGACCTGTAACAAAACCCAGTTTTCCCGGCATTATTTTCTTAAACATTATTTACCATCTGGTTCATGAGCACATATTCTGGAACAGCCAAAAACCTAACTTCAAAGATGCCTCTCAGTAGGATTCAAAGACATTAGTATTCTTAGTTTTTTTTAACTAGTAGACACCACACACGGATGGATACTTGGGAGAAGACTGATGTACCTACAGCTGGGATCTCAGATGACACTCAAACCGTACCAGGCAGGTTACAGTAACATGACTCAGTGTTGACCTATTCTGAACACTACCTGAAAAAGCTCCCACCACCCCTGCTGGGATTTCTGACTGCTTAACAATTCTAAATGACTGAAGCAGAAAACGAGACAGAGCACCTGCTAAAAATATCAAGATTCTAACACATTTTCGGAATAAAATGTTTACATTCAGGAGGCACCTGTATAACTGAGTAAATTTCAAAGACAATAACATGCATACAATTTTATCATTTGTGATTTTAAGGGGAAAAGTTCAAAAAATTTTCAACAGTGTATCATTTTCAATTTTTAACAGTAACTCAATGCAGACACACAACATAAAAAAGATTCTGACATTTTCAAGGGGAAGGATGAGTTTAATCCCAGCACTTGGGAGGCAGAGGTAGGAGGATCTCTCTAAGTTCAAGGGCAACCTGGTCTACACAGTAAGTTTGTCTTAAAAAAAAACTGTACTCCCCCAAATTCTCATTTAGAAGTCAGTATATCAAACGTTTATACTGAAATTTTAAAAACAAAGTATTTTCATAGATCCAAACAATAAAGAATAAAAATAAAAATAATTCATATTAATTTTAAAGATTAAAACTAAGAAAATTTAAAAAGCTAAGCTCTGCCGGTCTGGACATCACTGTTTCAAAGGTCTAAGATGGAAAAGTTCAACGTTAAGACACTTTACCTCATTCTATATTTATCATCCTCCATTATTATTTATCTATCAATTGATAAGCTATTAACATTAAAATAATGCTAAAAGTTCCTTTGAGGGACTGGAGCGATGGCTCAGAAGTTCAGAGCAGGTATTCTTCTTGCAAAGAACCTGAAGTCAGCTCCAGCACTATGTCAGGTGACTCAACTCCAGGGGAGCCGACACCCCCCCCCTTCCTGTGAGCACCTGCACTCACATGCACATATACACATATTTATGTATAATTTAAAATAATAAAAATAAAAACTTTGAAGAAATTATTTCGAAATGGAACAGAAGTAAATTCTTGGGTTTTGCTGTCACTGGGAGCTGGAGAGCCTCAGTGTCTAGAAAAACAACTGTTGTATTTCACTTCTAATTTGCTACTCTATAAAACACTAACATCTAAATAACTAAAAAAAATAAAGAAAAAAAAAAAGCCCAAATCCCTTAACATTAGGCAAATAAGCATTCTGAGTAACTTTGCAGGTAATTATCTGGTGTGTGTCTCAGAAGACCATGACACATTCACATTTTAATTGTTAGCATTATGGAGTAACAACAGCTGCCACATCCAAGACTTTAATGCCTCACTTCATATCTCTCTCTCTCTCTCTCTCTCTCTCTCTCTCTCTCTCTCTCTCTCTCTCTCTCTCTCTCTCTCTCACTCACACACACACACACACACACACACAAAAAAAAAAAAAACCTCCCACTCCTAGCCACTTTCTAAAGATACTCCCAAAAAAGGAAAGGTTTCATTTTATGATTCCTCTCTTCCCTCACCTCACTCCACTGTCCTATAATCTTTTCTCCTCTTCCTTACTAATGTCACAAAAAGTTTCTACATACTAGCTGGGGGCTAGAGGCGGGCGGCATAGGACAGGGATGCCCTTCAATCTAGTCTTCTGAAATAAATCAATACTTAAATGAGCTATTAAAACAAATAAAACTCATTTTTCTGAATCAAACATCATTTTCATAATGTAATACACCAAATACAAGTCTTTGATTCCCCGTGTTTCTATTGTATAAAATAAAAGCTGGAATAGGAAAAAAAAAATCAGAAAAAGATGAGGATATGGATGAGGCAAGCAGGCAGGCAGAATACAAATAATTCCTGCTTAGTTTCTGCAAACAAAGAATAGGCTGTTTTTGCTAGAAAACAGTCACACTATAGGAGTTGGCACTGAACTGTGCAGTGTTACTGGGCCACCTAAAACAAGAGCCAAGAGCAGAGGTGAGCTCCAGTGAAACGGCTCAGGGCACAGTGACAGCCACCCAAGCCTGCCAACCTCACCAATCCCGGGCATTCATGCACAGGTGGACAGGGACACCTGAACCCAGAGCCGTCCCCTCCTCTCACACATGTACACACATTCCCCACACACTCCACAAACAGTTTTAACAGTAGAATTTGAGGACCATGCAGTTGAATTTACTCATTTTTTCAGCAGAATTAACTAAGGCCCAGGAGAAACATAATCAAGCGCTTTCTCTGTTTCAATGTGTTGTTTGTCTATAAAACTAAAATATTGTATGTACTAAGTGTTTATTCACCATGAGCATTACCAACTGACCCATGGAAAAGGACTGTCTAGATGGCTGGTTCTGTGTTTGGTCCAGGGATACACTATGCTGACGCTCTGCATGTCTCTCTCTACTTCAGCAGCTATGAAACTTACTAGGATCTTTTGCCTACTTCTCATAGTACTTTGTTTAGAGTCACTGCAAAAGAAAATAAAACAAAAAGTAACTCTTCTATCAAAATCAACTGTTTAATGTGTTGGACATAGACACTGCACAAAATCATCATTCAACAAACCAGACTTCTCCATCCAGAGTCAAGAACATTCTGAAAATTGAAACCACATTACTAACACTTGGCATTTGTTACAAGACTGTTACCAGACTGCTATTTACCTAAGCTTAAAGAGATTTTCAAGGCAAAAATACCTGGGATATAATTACTCTGTGGCTCAATTCCTGCTGGGAAGTTAGTGTTTTCTGGAATGGAGTGGGTAAAGTCATCCAGATGCGGCAGTTCTGTCAGGATCTCCGTGTGCCGAGGCACTAATACTGGAGGTAAAACTGCAAGTTCAAGAGAGCTGAGTTAGCGCAAGCGTGGGAAAGGGAGGCTCTTTACTCCCAGTTGGCAAGGCAGAAGACAGCGGCTTCACTTTTCAAAGTCCTGGCACACCTCTCTGCTACTATGACACTAAGAAACTGACAAATCTCATCGTGGAGTTCATTTACATAAGTCACCATTGAAGTTTCCAAATTAAGGTTTATTTTGTACTGTGGGGAACAATGTGACCCTCTCAATACTATAGTACCATAAGAATTTATAGAATTCCATTAGAAATGGTGAGAGAAAAGTCATCACTAAAGTCAGATATAATAATTTTTCTAAAAATACAGGATTTGTTTTAGCTCACTAAATCCAAAGTCCTACGATACACTCCACTCGATTACTTCTCCTAAACGCTGTCATCAAGTGCTTCTGACAGCAGTCAGAGGAATGCTGACAGCAGGCACTAAAGACACACAGACAACTCTCAGGAGAGAGCAAGTCTGTGCAACTTCCTGGATACGCACCTGGATGTCCAACAGAGGATACTCCCAAGAAATGGACATGGCCCTTTTCCAGGATAGTTTTTCCATAAAAGTTTGAAAAATAAGAAAGCAATTAAGCCGGGTGGTGGTGGCGCACGCCTTTAATCCCAGCACTCGGGAGGCAGAGCCAGGCGGATCTCTGTGAGTTCAAGGCCAGCCTGGGCTACCAAGTGAGTCCCAGGAAAGGCGCAAAGCTACACAGAGAAACCCTGTCTCGAAAAACCAAAAAAAAAAAAAAAAAAAAAAAAAAAAGAAAGCAATTAAAACCCCTACCAAATAATACACTCAACTTAAGGTAGTTTATTACAATTTTACATTAAAATTTCCCTGAGGCACAAGGTATACTAGCTTTCAATCAGCCTTTTAGTTTAAAAACAATAAAAAAAAAACCCAAAACCCACCTACAGTTTTCCTACCTGGTGTCTCAACTCTCTGGTAGTGGTAAGGATTTACACATACTTCATCTTTTTTCAGATTAAAAGCATATTCGCAGTTTTCAATCGCCTTGAGCTCATGGTGACTGTGAAGGTCCGGCCAGCGCCATAATCGACAATATATAACATGTGGCAACCCTTTCCGATGCGAAACCTGAAGACGACCATCAAGAGACCTATTCAGAAGCAAGGGGAAAGAGGAGGGCAGTTTGAAAAGGAGAGACTAGGAGTCATCAAAGGGGATGAATTAATACTCTAAGAGCACAATGGAGGACACCACGGCCATCAACTTAGCTTTAGTGATATCCGGGAAGAACAGTGCCCTCTGGCTTGGTCTGACTGAGCCAGCAGCGGCACGAGCTGCTGTCTCCTACTGGTGTGCACATAACAACTCACATGCCAATGGGAGGCTAGCCTCATGGCAAGTGATCTACAAAGTGTCAGGTGGTTACACTTGAAAACTTCATCAGTGTCTATTTTTAATAAGCTAGACTCTCAAAGGCATTAATTCTGAAGCAACTGGTTGTCAAAAAAAGGAAGTAGTATGAAAATGGTGATAAATATCAACAATGATGTGACAGTAACTTACTCGGACTAATGTAACTTGTTATTTAAGTGTGACTTTTGATATCTAAGGCTTATTTATGAAGCTCACACAGAAATGCAGATGAATGTGATGAATGTGAGATGGAATGGACAAATACCAATGTGCTTAAAAGAGAATGAAGTGATTTAAAAAAAGGATGAAAGAAAAACAAGTTAGCCTACTGTTAATTGTGATATAGCGGTTCATCAAATACCAGTATAAAGATGAGATTAACAAGAAATTTAGGAAAAACTGTCATGTATTTACTTAAAATTAGGTCAATAACAAATCTGTCTAATCTTGGACTACAATGGGTATATAGATATAAAAAGGTCTTATTCTTTATGGGACACAATCATTTAAAGATTCAAAACTAACGTTGCATTGACCAAAACATCAGCTGAAACATTTCATATCTTTTTAATACTGGCAAGCAGATATTTACATGCTATGCCTCATTTACAGCAGTTAACATCCTAGGCAAAAGTTACACTAAGCAACCCCGTCGAGGTCTTCCAAGCACACCCTCCCACAAGTCTCTAGGGTTACACAGAGGGCAGAATATTCACCTGGTTTGTTCAGAGAAGCTGTAAAGGCCTGTTGTATCCCACTGATCTACCGTGTTTGGTGTACTCAGTCCCCAAATTTCAGAGCAAGTGCTGTGCATAAAGTGAAAAACAAAAAGTTGATGTGAACATGGAAGCATGGTTATTCAAAGTACCATGATGCAAAGCATGGAGAATGTACAGAATACTTCCTTCACCCAGAAAATATACGTGGTTTCACCCATTATGAGTCCCTGCTGGCCACTATATTTTCTATATGAAGGAAGCCAATAAAATGGAACATGTGACTCCAGATAAGTTATGATTATGTTTTTATATGTGAACACCAATGCTTGCTAACCTAATGAAATTATACCTATGTCCTTTCCAATTTCCTCTACTCCAAGAGTTCATTCTATGCCATCAACCCCATTAACAAAACTTCATTTCATTACTCAGTTTTAAAAACAACAGCAACAACAACAAACCCACTTCAATTAAAAACAGTTGTCAACTGGTACTTTTAACATATAAAAAGTCCCACTGAAAATAAACATTTATCATTTGGGTGTGGTAGAACACACCTATAATCCCAGCACTTGGAGGGGAGCAGCAGGAGGAAAGGAGTTCAATGCTTGCCTAGGCTACCCAGTAAATTCAAGGCCAGCCTGGTCTACGAGACCCTGTCTCAAAAATAAGTAAGTAAAACAAACAAAGCAGATCTCCCCATGGCTAAGACTCCAGGTTGCCTATCTGTACTACTTACAGAGGCTCAGTTTTACTGAAGGCTCTGATTGCTTTCTTGCCATCGTTCATAAAGGGCACAGCAGATAACAAAAGTCATTCTAATACAACACATTTTAAAGTTTCTTTTCACATCTTTCCAGAACATAGGCAAGTCAAAGATAATTCACCCTACTTTCCATGAACTACTACTTTATCTCAAAGTAACTACTGGCCTGTGGGCAAAGGGAAGAATTTAAAGGGAACTTTCAGAATGGAGTTTTGATGGCCTTGTCTCTTGCCTATGAAGCTGTACTTTTTAAATCAGTCAAATATAATTTCTGAAATTCAATTCCACTTCACACATATTACCAAAGTCAACAAAATTTGAGAAAAAAAAAGAACATTTCTAATAACCTTTAAAAATATACTGATTAAGTTTCACATTTGCTCATCATTAGTGAGATAAGTGGATCAGCACCGGACAATGGGAAAGCACAGGCTCTCCTGAGGCTAGGGACACTCTGAGGAGTGCTTCTCAACCCCCTTAATGCTGCAACCCTTCCATACAGTTCCTTGTATTGCAGTGACACCCCCCTCCCCGCCGATCATAAAATAATTTTGTTGCTACTTCATAATTGTAACTTTGCTACTGTTATGGATCATAATGTCTACCTCAGCCCCCGACTACCAGCTCACCACTCCCTTGTCTCACCTGCTCCATCCCCTCACACTGGAAAGCTTATTTAAAAACATTAATTCTAGCTAGTAAAATGTTTACTTGTTTTTATGTAGCTCAAGCTGGCTTGAAACACACAAGCCTGCTTCAGCCTCCCAAGGGCTGGGATTATGGTCACACATCACCATACCCAGCCAGAACACTCTAAAACAAATCTACTTTGTAACAACATGTACAAAGCAACTAGAGTATGTGTAATTACTAAAGAAACAACTTTAACATAACAAAATACAAAAGCACATAAAGAGAAACATACCCCTAATTCATAGATTTTATAATTCAGACATAAAATTCTCCAAGCATAACACAAAATAAATAAGAGCCACAAGAATGCTGAGGAGAGACTGATCCTATATCACAAATCCGCCTCAGCTCAAAAGCACATGGACACAAGAACATACTAATGCAGAGCAGACTCTGCTTCCAGCAAAGTTCAGGAGCTTCAATCAGGTCAATTTTCCTCAAATCACAGCTTTGACCAACCAAATATAAAAGCATTTTACAACAAAACAGAGAGACCAGAAGCATGCAAACTGAAAAGTGTCAAGTTGCAGGTGAGGAATGCTGCACTGGATGAGAGCTGCATTTCCAAGACTTTGTACTTGAGGGCAGTCCCCAGTCTCAGTAACTCAGGATAACTGAAACTCTCACACAACTGTAAATATAGGAGCCACAGGGGAGGAATCTTCAAACTATGACCTATGCATGAATCCCTGACTAACACATATGGACAGACCATGGGGGTTGAGGAAACCAGCATTTGGAAAAGCTCAAAGAATGAAAACACAGCCACTGCCGCCAGGAGAAGGGAAGTCTAGATTCTGAAGCTACTAAATAGCTGTTAAAACAGAAATCCAAACTCCTCAGAGGGTGGGCAACACTACACTGCTACTTCACATAACTAGTGTAACTAAAAGTCACACCAGCAGCAACAGAAACAGGGTGGATGTAAGCTTTAAAGTAATTATTATGAATATGCTCATGAAATTAATGAACAGATCAGGAATCTCAACAAATGTAAACTACAGAAATGAATCAAACAGAAATGCTAAAACTGAAAACTACCAACTCTGAAATAAAGAGCCCAATGGTCAAAGAATAAATCAGTGAATGTATACATTAGTACAAACTACCTAACCAAAAATAGTAAAATAAAAAACTTCAAAACCAAAGTGAAGTCTCAATAGTGTGTGCAGTTATATAATAGAACAGAAACAGACTGAAATAAATTAGTGTCTAGAGGGAAACTGGTTGAAACATTTTCAAGTCTTAAAATATTTTCAACTTAATAAAAAAACAACAACTGAACTTAAACACCCAAGAGGCCTAGTGAACGCCAAGGAATTTAAACTAACTACCCAACAAGTTATGGCAGGCCACTGTCTTCTCTTAGAACCCTTCTGGTACAAATCCTTTCCAACTCTCTGAGCTTCTCTCAAAGACCCCCAGGCAGGCAGTTCCTCTGAAGGTTCCCACCCCTACCTACTCCAGAAGAAGCCAGCAGTCCCTGACCTGAGCAGGTGTCAACTTAGCACATGGAAAAGCCTCTCTGAACTGACACCCAATGGCCTGTCTCCTCTCTTTCTCACAGCCCACATCTTAGGCTCTGCCTGGTTGCCTACTCTTCCTCCTTCACTGCTCAGTCATCTCTCCAGAAGTCAAAACTGAAGTCATACCTTCCCTCCCTGTAGAAACTACGAAATCACACCAATTCTTGCTACCTTTAAAATTCTACTTGATTCTGGTAGCAGCCAGCGCAGAAGAATCCATTACATACAGAGGCAGAAGCACAATGTCTCTGAAGAAACAATCAAAGCTGGAAGACAATGGAACATCTTTATAGAAGTGGGAGACAAGAACTTCTAACCCACAAGTCCATAAAGAAGCAAAGTGGCCTTTGCAAAAGAAGTCAGGACACAAATCTGTACTAAGGAACAACAGCAACAACTGCAACAAATCAACTTGTCTCTAGCAGACTCTCAGAAAATAAATACTAAAGGAAAGTGCAGCATAAAGAAAAATTACAACGAAAGGAAACCCAAAACCATGAAAAAAATTAAAGGAGCTGAAAAACATAAATAGGTGAATGTAAAAGATGGTATTATTTCCTCATAATTTCTAAGAAATAGAGGGAATCAAAAAAATTTGCAACTGAAAGAACGCACAGATGTAAGTTTTTGACAACAGTAAACAGAAAGTGTAGAAAGCAACGGCATTACAAAGTTAAAGATGTTTACTACACTCTAAAAAGCAACCAGAATTAAGACAACTTATACCTAAAGGAATATATAAAAATGAAATGATAAGAAAAAATAACTCCAAAGAGACCTGACAGAGGAAAACACAGAAAGCCACAAAGAGTAATAGAAAACAGAGCCCAATGAGATTTAAATCTAGTCACAGCAACAGTAACTTTACATCAATACACCTCCTCCAATGAAAGGTAGAGAACTGTCACACAACAATAAAGTATCCATACAAAAATCATGTACTTAAATAAAGAACAGTTATGACAGAAAGCCACCTACACAGGCACAATGTTTAATTAAGGAAAAGGTAGAGTAATATCAGAAACAATGGTTGACAGAACATAGACAAGTGCAGACAGTTTAGGGGAGAGGACCCAATTCTTGCCCTTGGTAGGGAAGCTGGAAATACCTTGTCCTGGCTAAAAGCCAGGAATGCTGTAGAACTATTTGGGGATGGTGGTCCCTGGTCTGGTTTCTAATGATTTAGGGTCTCAACTCTTGAGGGGGAATGTTGTAAGGATTAACAGCTTTGGGGGACACTGAGGATGGGACATCTTCCCCCAACCTCCCATTTCCCTGTAATATTAGAAAGGCAAACATTGAAATCACCTCTCCTTAACCTCCTGGACAAATTAAAAGAGTCCGTGTATCCCTGGGCAGTAACATGTCATTCCGATCTACTTCAAATATTAGAATAGTACATACTATTGTCTTTTCTCTTAAGAGTTAATGCAGTTAGGCTTGTCAATCACCTGGTCAGAAATCCATTCGAAGAAAGCTGATTTATCTGAGGACATGATAAAGAAATGGAAGAAGGGCTAGAGAGACAGCTCAATGGTTAAGCGTTCTTGGTGCTCTCACAGAAGGCTTGGGTTCAGGTTCTGGCACACATACAGTAGCTTACAATCGCCTCTAACTCAAGCTCCAAGGGATCAGACGCCATCTTCTGAATGCTGTGGGCACGCACATGGTACACACACATGCAAGCAAAACACTCATAGACATAGAATAAAAATAAATAAATCTTTGGGGGGGGGATCATTCCTTTTTTGAAATAATGTACTTGTCATCCCAAGACACCCTTCCTCTATGCAGCCACTTGCAAAGCTCCCACCACGGAGTGCCTTGGGACTTGCACACTCTTTCCTAAGTTACTCAGGAGTGTGTACCTTATCCCTTTCCTTCTTTCCCACCTTTTTCTTTCAGATACTGGTCAAAGCCTGAGCATGTTTTCTGGATACTTAGGGCTTTCACTTTCTCTGAAGCCCCTGCCTCTTCCAATTTCATGTGGTTGCTTTGTCAAAACCCATTGCTTTCTTTGACCTTAAAGGGAATAGCTTCTCTCTCCCTGGCAATTGCCAGGGCAGTTTTCCTATCCTGGTCCTCTCTGAAATTCTAATAAG